ACTACCTGTTGAGCCCGATGATCCAGCCAGCTTTCTATCTACCTTACAGTCCATTCATTCAACCCGTCCTTCCTCAACTTAGTGCTGTTATTATTTTATGTAAAATGTTTCGAGAAAAGGGGGAGACCGTGCACAAGAAACGTAAGCGGAGAAAGTTTTGAGGGAGATGTGAAAAAACTTACTAGAATTGTGGTAACTATGTATGTCTTGTTCTGGAGACTCATGGATTCGTTGCCACCTTGTGCATCGGTGGCTGCTGGGACAAATTTTTCATCTTCGTTCCAGTAGCCAATCTGCGAATGACAGAAAGAACATGACTCCCCGCTGAAGTCTCTTTGCAACCCGAACCAAGAGGAGATCAGAGTACCAGTAGGTTTGCCCAGTCTCACCCTGGCCATAACCCAGCAAAGTGCTAATAATGCTCCTGCATACTTAACCTTTTCCCCCATGCAGGCCTAAACCTAGGCAAATGGATGCCAAACATTGCTCTGTGTATGTATGTATTTAAAAAAAATAATTGCTTCTCTCCAAGCCTTCTACTTAGGCAAGTAAATAACTAAAGAAACTCATATCATTGTGGAATGACTTGTTCATATGTGTTTTTTTTTAAATGGCCACCACTAAGGCACAACAGGCCTCTTTAGGCCCATAAGAATCCTCATCACAGCTAAAGACTTGCACGAGTAACAGATCAACTCCTAAGATGCCTTGAAGAATGGGGACAAATCAGGGGCAAAAGGAGAAGATAGGTTAAAAAGAGGGAAATGGGGTTTGTCTAACATTACAAAAATGTAGAGTTACACATGCATCTACCAGGCAATAAGAGAGAGCACCCGATGTTATTAATGATCAGGGATCCAGTCTTTGCCACCGCAGCTCACAGGCACAGTAGGAAGCTGTGAGTATCAACGGGAAGTTCATTCTGGAGGCTTGGTTTTACAAGACTTTTTCCATCAAAAATAAGCCAGGGTGAGGTTGCACGAGCTCTGTTGACGTGAAAGGGATTTCTTATCTCATTACATGGAGAAAAGTATTAATAGAGGGCAAGACCAGTAGCCTGTTGACGGATCATTAGAGATCATGGCAATGCAGGGGATAAAAAACCAACAAAACAGCAGACAATTCTCATCTCTCTTTATTGTATAGAATGAAAAAGGAAATAATGTGAGCAAAGAGCTTCCAAAGCTCTGCTTTAGAGCAATGCAAGTGGGAAAAAAAAGTATTTATTTTGCATTTCTCACCTACTTGAGCCAATAGACCACACGCTACACTAGAAATAGCTTGCAAGGATTTCTGCAATAGATGTGAAGCCTAACATGTGGGGTCTATCTTGGTCATCTTGCTTTCACACTGAGTTAATGGCAACACTTTTTGTCAGTGCTCAGTTCTCCTATGCTTTTCTACTGCCTATAATTGCTGTTATTATATTATAACCTTTGTGGTAGCAATTCTGCATCGCAAACACAGACTAGGACTTCCATTATACTGTGTGCTGTACAAGCACATACATAATTTTCAGTTATGCAGATGCACATCACCATGCTGGAGGAAAGATCCTGTTTTGACTAACAAAAAAAGTTCTGCCTCCGCACATCTCTTGCTAGCCAGTTATCACCAAAATATAAAACTGCACAAAACATTTCCCCAAAGGGAATAACACATGTCAGGAACTGCATTTTAGTGAGTCCTTTTTAGTGGGGTCTGACTTGACCCTGAATGCTGCAGGTATAACCACAGATCCTGTGCAATACAGTTTCTCTGTGAATGAAGCATATGTGGAAATATCATGTGCTATTTTCCCTCATTAAACA